GGGCCTGTGGGCGGGAGGGTGGCTGTTGGGGCGCCTGGGGGGGGCTGGTCTCGGAGTAGAACCCTCTGCCGGTTCCTGGCCCAGGAAGGGCAGCAGGTGGAGGCCGAGGCTCCGTGTTCTGCCCTGGACCGCCGGTCACGGCAGGCCAGCCCTGGGCACCCCAGGCCCGTCTGCCCACTTCGCGGGCGAGGAAGCCCCCGCCGGCTCCGCCTGGTGCGGCCCCCAGACTGGGGAGCGGGCCCAGGGCTGTGCTGGACGCGGTGGCCAAGGCCTGGCAGCACGCGGTGAGGGCCTGTGTCCGGGAGCGCCGGTCGGGGCTGCAGACACGTGGCTGTGGAGGAGCAGTGCGGGTGGCTCTTGCACTCAGCTGCAAACGTGGCCGCTTGGCAGCAGGGGAGGTTCCCAGCGTGGGCCGGCGGCGCCGGGCGGGGCTGCCCAGGCAGTGGCCTGTCCAGCGGGGGAGGGCCCCGGCCCACAGTGTGCCAGGCAGGCTCAGCCCGAGGCTGGGGCTCCGGGCGGGACCGTGAGGAGGAGCACGGGAGGCCGTGTCGTGGCCAGCCTGCCCCGCCCGACCTCGGCTTCCTCCTCAGGGGACCGACCTGGCGGTCAGTCTGTGGCCCACACCCGTCAGCCGCAGCGCTGCGTGCGCCCGGTGTGGGGGCCACTGCGGCACCACAGCTGAGTGCCCGCTGGGCAGAGTGGGGCTCCGCGGGCAGGGCCAGGAGCCGACCCCGGCCAGCCCTCTGCTGCCCGCCCGGCCTCCTCCGGACCCTCCGCCACGCACGGCAGCCGCGCTGGCTCGGGCTTGAGACCCGCACTCCGCTATTTACTCTTCGCCCCAGAGGGCACTTTCGCCGCGTCCCTCCCCTCCGCGGGCTTGCGCCCTTCTGCGCCCAGCTGCTCCTGCCTGCCACACCTGTCTCTCTCACGTCCCCCCGGCCTGTGCCCCCCTCCCAGCGGGGTCACGATGACCCCGCGGAGCTGCGGCCGCCCCTGCGTTTCGGGCATCCCAGGGCCCCCAGGCAGCCGAGCCCGCTTGCTGCCCACCACGCCGGGGCCAGCTGTCCGCCCCCGCGGGTGCAGGCCTGGCCGCTGCCACGGAAGAGGCGGCCCTGCGAGTGAGCGGCAGTCCCGGCCCTGCTGGACACTGAGCGGCGCTCACAGGCCGCCGGGCTGGTCGCTGCAGGCCAGGGACGCGGGGCCGTTACTCTGCCCTGCCGGGGGCCAGGCGGCCAGGGCCTCTCGTGGGCCAGCACACTTGCAGAGTCCATGGAGCCAGCTGAGCCAAGGAGCAGGTGAAGCCAGGGGCTGCCTTGGGCCTCGCCCCGCCACGCGCACGCAAGCCAGCAGGACGGACGCTGCTGAGGCCGCCCTAGGTCCAGCTCGAGGCAGTGGAGGCCGAGGTGGGCCGGGAGCAGGGGCAGCGAGACTCAGGACCCCCACCCCGCTGTACGGGCGGCGACGCAGCCCTGCACCCCAGCAGGGGCTGGTGCCACAGGCGTGGGAGACAGGACCCCAGCCCACGGGAGCTGGGCCCCCTGGGAGGACAGCCGATCCAGGGCCGAGACACTGCTCTGGCCACGGCCCAGCCTCCGTGGTCTGAGTTCCAGTGGCTGGTCTGAAGCTGTGGAGGTCCAGGAGACACAGAGATTGGGAGGCTCAGAGGGGAGCACCCAGGGAAGCGGGAGCACCGGGGAAGCCAGAGACACCTACAAGACCCAAGAGCACCCGGGCAAGCGGGGAGCACCCGGGGAAGCGGGGAGCCCCTGTGAAGCCAGAAGCGCCTAACGAGGTCGGCGCTGGCTGAGGAGGGCGCAGAGGGGCGCCGCAGCAGCGAGCGGCGTCGGGGAGCCCCCGGCCCGCAGCCCAGCCCCCCCCGGGGTGAGCCCGCAGAGGCCTCCACATCTCCCCAGCGTCCCCGCACCGTGCGTCCTCCTGTTCCTCGACTCCCCAAGCGTGTAGCGACGCCCGGCCGGGG